GTGCAAATTTTTTTTGATAACACTCCATCAGTTAGGTCCAACATTACCTCCCGTGACTTTCATCTGGATCCCATGCTCGGAAGTCGAGATTCAGCATTCTGAAAAATCCTGGGTACGCCACTGCTGCCGAGTTAACAGAAAATATTCAAATCTGATCATTACCAATAGTTTTCTCGTTAGTTCTAATAATTCATCCTTTATTTAGATACTTGTCTTCGTCATAAACATCTTTTGCTTAACTGCTATCTTCAATAAGTTGTATCTCAGAGTTGGTAGTTCTGACCACTTTTTTCATCTATTCACATTATTTTTCTTCTGTTGATTATTCAATAAAATTTATCGGTGGATCTTCATTCACCTCCAAAAACCTATCCTAGACCCGATTTCATATGATGTTTGTACTAGTTTTTAATTATATGCTAATTATTGATGTTTACGATTGTAATGCTGCAAAAAATAAGAGTTTTATTCCATTTTTTTTTTCAGTATTTCAATTCGTATCTTTTTTTCAGGGGTGGTTTTCTTTTATTACCGCATATTGTTGAATTCTATCAAGGTCAAACTAATCGATTATCAGATCGTATACAATTTCGTCGTATTTTATCTGAATCTGATAAAAATATTCCAATAGATTCAAGTGTAACACATGAAGGTACTTATGGTTGGGTATATGAACGACTTTCACCATGATTAAAATCAATCAATATATTTATTATTTTAAATAAAAATTAAACATAAATATTTCATTGATTTAATTAGTAATTCTAAATGATTTTTTGCTTTTTTGATCATTTTAGATTTAATAATATAATGGAACATTTTCTTAATAATACAAATGATCATAATTCAAGTTTTTTTCAACCACCAAGACAAGATGATGATTTTGATACATTAATCGAACAACATTCCCCATCAACATCAACTATAGAAATAGAAAAACCACCAATACAAAATGATATTAAATTAGAAGAATCAAATAATACAAATGATCGTTCACAGTCAAATTTAAATATTGATGAAGAAGCAAATATAAAATTACAAGTTCTTGTATCAAATTTTAGTGATGAACAATTAGATCGTTATGAAATGTATCGTCGTTCAGCATTTTCAAAAGTTGCAATAAAACGTTTAATGCACTCAATAACAGGTACAGTACCATCATCAAATGTTGTTATTGCAATGGCTGGTATTGCTAAAGTATTTGTTGGAGAAATTATTGAAGAAGCTTTAGAAGTTCAACATCAAGAAAATAATAATGAACATAAATCAACAACACCACTTGAACCAAAACATTTACGTGAAGCCTATAGACGTATTAATCATCAATATCATTGTCCACAAAGAAAAACATGGAAATCAAAACGAAAATCTAGATTTTAAATAAAATAAAAACAAATTGTATAATAAATAATTTTCATTTTTTTTTTGAATTTTTTTCTCTTTGTTCTTCAGATGAAATTTGATGATGTACAAAAAATTTTCTATCAACATATTCATCGACGTTATCATCGTTATTGTCGAGAATTATTTGCACAATTGATATGTTTAAATTTAAATATTAAACCAGCTTATTTANCTCAGAAAATGATCTCTCAAAACCCCAAACCGTTTTTTATCAAAATTTAAATAGTTTGCTATCTTATGCAGCGTCCGACACTCGTTCAAATGCAATATTTGGAAAGAAAAATGATTCATCGTATAAAAGTGATAAAGACTTCAGATAAACATGTTCAGTTGTCTGTGATAAAATAAACATTTTACTTCATAGACATTTTACTTTTAGAAAGTTTTAGTAATCAAAATGTAGCTTGTCTTCTCACTTTTCCATTGATATAGATTTAGTTCTTCTCAAACATTTGTGGAAAAAATAACTCAAGTTAAAGCATCGTCCAAATAAAATCGTCAAACAGAAAGTGACAGCTACTCACTGTCATATGTTCAGTTCCACGATAACTCAATATTTAGGGGGGAAATTTTCTGTGAATGTAGTATAGGCGATGCTTGAAATTTTCACGCAAGCTATGTCTGAACAGCTAACTTAATAAGATAGTTATACTTAAAACAAAATCGTCCAAAAAATTTTGTCCAGTACTATATATATATGCTACCTAGATCAAGGGTTAAACTTAAGGACAAAAAAAGAATAAAGATTGATCGAGGTTATACAACATCATATAGATCTAATAAGAAGAAAGAGAAAAATAAAAATAAAAATAAAAAAAAGTAACAATAAGGAGGTGAATTCGCTAACATCATCTAATGATAGGTATACAAATTTAATTTGTTCTTCTGAAGATCTTCATTTTTAATGGATGACATTAATCTCATTATATAGATTTCGATTTTCAATATCAATTTAAGTTTTCTATGTGAGCTACTTTTCAATATCTTCATATTAACTAAGTAGTACAAGAATTCATATTTATCTTCCGTCACTTTTTCTATCATTAGTATCTATACTGATGTATTGAAAAAATAAAACATATCGCTAATATAAAAATATCGACAGTGGAATAAGACTACTTACCAGCCAATATCGAGATATGTTTATTTTGTAATGTCAGTCCGCAGGTGATATTACTTCATATTTATAGTTGTTGGTAATTTTTCGTTTTTTTTTCGGCGTAAAATGTTTATCTGAATCAAGCAAGTGTGACTTTTTTATTTGGCGTCTTATTTTTTTTTTACATTAATATATATATCGTTCTATGTACAAGATGTGCTTGCCGTATGCTTCCTTCATTTTTTACTATGGGTTTTTTCCAGTGATAAAAAAGCAAACGATGGGTATCTTACCATCTTTATTATGGATGTAAGATGAGTAGGAGAGAGACTGTAACCATATAAAGTGTTTCAAATGTATAAATTTTGAGTTCATTGTATAAGGGTGTGGGTGTTGGTGTGGGTGCGGGTGTGAGTGGATGTGAGGGTGGGTGTGGGTTTGGGTGTGGTTGGTAGTTAAAGTGAAGTAAGAGCACACGCACACCCGCATCCACCCACCACCGCGGTTTTTTTCTTTTCAATAAATAAACACACAATAAAATTATTTTCTTCTTATTGATATTCATTTCCAAAGTTCTACGATTGATTTCATTTCAAAATTGGTTTTTCTATTAAGATTCAATATATATTTCTTTTATTCTAATTAAAATGTTAAATAGTATTCTTAATAAATTTCATTCAATAAAATAAAATGACTGTATAATTATATTTAAAGTATCAAAATAAAAACCTTTATTCTTATTTTTAAATAAACCAATAATATACAAAATCGAAACAAAAAAAAAGAATAATGAAAGCACCAAATTAGTTATTCAATACAAGAAAAAAACATTTTATGTCAATATAGATATAAATGCATGTATACATTGGACTTATATAAATAGAGAAAAAAACTAATTGCTTTTTATTATGTTACAAAAATACTCATCGTTGAATAGCTTGATAATAACTATTAACACGCTTTTCAAGTGATAAATTACTACCATCATTATTTTCAAACCATATAATTAAACAACTTTCAGCATTCATTAAAGCTTCGAATTGTTCAAAAATAATTGTCCATTCATTGTCATTGCATTTGTATTATCATTGGTCCCTACTAGACGAGGAGGCATACACATTTTACCTTGAAATGAAAAGAGAAAAAAGATTAAAATAAGAAAAATTCAAATATAATAAGAAACAAATCCATTTTTTAAAGAAGTGTACTTGAAGTTGTTAGTGCTTTAAATAAATTTTCATCATCACTGGTTCCAGTCATTCAATTATATATTGATTTACATAGATGTATAAATTCAATCTAAATAAAGAATATGAAATATTTTTGTATCAAGTATTTATTCAGATTCAATGAAAATGTTGTGTAAAGAAATAGGCATGAAAGTATTGGCACAAAATATTTGTTCATCTTCCAACCATTAAAATAAAACTCGTTAGAATCAGCAACAATTAGTTAAAATCAGAATTTTTCACTTTTCTCGAATATATATTCCGACTTTTCTTCTGCGGTAAAATTGAACAACTATCAATAAACTTTCTGAAAAAATAAAAAATTGTGTTTATGCAAAACACAAGAGCAGTTTCGGTGCAGTCTTTAGTTTGTGTCTTCGAACAGCTTTAATTTAACATTATTGTAAAGTACTGAATTTTGTACTAAATGAGATATTACAATACACGAAATCTAATCTATGTGTTTCCATTAAAGAGATAGTTACCATGGAAATTGACATCGATCAAAAAAATCATTATTTCAAAAGCTGTTTTTAAAAATACAAAAATTTTAAAACCTGTCACACAAGATCAAATAGTAATTCAAGGGTGTGGATGAGTGTGAGTGTGGGTGTGTGCGGGTTTGGGTGTGGTTATGGGTGTGGATGGCAGTTGAAGTGAAGTGAGGACACACGCCCAAACCCACATCCACATCCACATCCACACTCACACACTCACAACTACACCCCACCCATAACTGTTTGAAACAGTCAAACATTTAATGTGTGAGCATGGTATCCTGAAGAAGAAATATATCGATAATTTGAATTTTTGTACTTTTAGGATGAATCTATCAAAACAAGGATCATGATATGGTCTGTGTTTGAAAAACTACTAGGCCAGGCAGCAAGTGAACAGCAAATCAACCCAAATGAAAACTATAGAGTGTGGGTGAAGAATTAGGTTTTTTTTGAAACAAATACAAAAATTTCTGGATCATTTAACAAAAGTTGCTGTGTCATTCTCTTCTCGCTTTTATTTTCATCAGTTTGTTGCATGTACCTATAAGATGGGACATCGTTCAAATGTAATATAGATAAGCTCTATAAAAAGAGAAACGAACATCTCTGTTGGTGAATCATATCATGATCATTTTGCAATTAGAAAAATTGAATTTAAATGCACATCTTCTTAAGCTGATTTCTAAACGCTTTTATGGAAGTATGAATATATCAAGTTGTATGTTTTGAAAAAGTGAACGAAAGAATGAAAGCAATTTATATGAAGTATTAGAACATTGTAAAAGCGTTTTCTCTATTCAGTACTAACTAATCTTCAGTTTTACTGAGTACAGAATTTTATTTTTCTATTGACGTTGTAGTTTGAAGAGAAAATCAGTACAATTATGGTTTGAAAAACCTTTATTTAATGTTTGACATATCTTTTTTTGTTTCGAATGGTCTTGTCTAATAGATAGAATAAGCAGCAAATAAGACAGCACGTGTGTTGTGTTGTCTAACACAAACACAGCTTCTTCAAGAAAAATACTATTGAAACCTTTTCTCTTTCAAATGACTGATATCAAGTGATTGTTTCTTTTGAATAAGTAACGTCTCTTCTATCGAAAAGCCTTGCTTGTCGTTTATTTGAGGATAAGTTGATGAAATGCGTAAAAAGAACTATCTGTCTAAATATCAAACATAGCTAGGATTAAAATAAATCTACACCGAAATTTGCACATCTAACGTAATTTAACTAGTTTTATCAAAAGAAATGATAGAACAACAGTTGAAACAGAATTATGATAAGATTTCAACTCAAATCAGCGGGATCAAAAGTATTCAAAGCAATATGACGAAGAAGAAATAGATACTTATAGAAATATCAAACACAAACTCAAATAAAAAAGAATTACCAAAAGATAAATGGACGAAGTCATTTCGAATGTTTTTAGGTTTCTTCTTTATGATTGAATTGATATAGAAAAACTTGAGTTTTAGTTTTATGATATCATCGGTAATTTACCTATGATTGTTTAAATGTATTGGTGCTGGTATTTCAAATTACAATCTTTGTGTATTAACTAATCATCTTTATATTTATCGATAGTTAGCTTATCACCTAAAATTTCTAACTAAGAATTCAGAAAAATTCCTAATTATATTTATTTCACAGTTTTAGATTAAAACTAACAACGCTTTTTATCATCCTCTGAATTGTTCGTGTCTTTTTTTACACCTGTTTATATTATATTTGAACAAGTTAATATGTATGACTGCACGTGTAGATGAAACATCAATATGTGAGAGAGAAAAGAGATGATAACCTTCGATCGAAGGACTACAGACTTCTTTTTAATGAAATATTTTTATTCTCTTTGTTGTCTCACAATATAAATATAATAAAAGAACCAAAGAGAGTTGTACATTTGACAGTACTATTTTACTTAGTGTTAGAGAGCACTCTAACATACATCTTTATTTTATCTCTTTTCTTCAACTTGTTTGTGCATGCGTCATCATTCGGATATACGTTATCCACCCTATATACGAAGGTCAATGTATTTCTTTTTTTTCTCCTCTCTTTCTCTCTCCTTCTTTTCTCCTCTTCATTTCTGTCGTCCGTGAGAATTTCAATACATTCGCAGTTTTTTCTTCTCTTCGTTAAACTTAAGTGCATTTTAATAGAAGATGTCGGACGTCATCTTATAATTAAATAGTCCAGGCTGGAGTTGAAGATACATATTCACCACTTTCATTTTTCTCTCTTTGCATTTTACTTATCTCTCTATCTCTATCTCTTGCTTTGTCGACGTGAATATATATTTTTTTTGGGTTGATACATAAGATTGGAAGAGGGTAGAGGAAAATAAAATTGAAATTAGTGTTGTTGTGGTTGGTTACGAAGAAAATAAATTTTCTATCTTCTATTCATCTACGTTACAGTGAGGGCCTCTGTAACACTTAGCCTGGTTGTTCTTTCTTTTAATAAATGCAGCTATGAATTTTCTTTCAAATAAATTTATGTATATATACTTAGGGCATACCAAAAATACGGGTAGTGACACTTTAATACCGTATAGTAGACTTAAATAACTTTCTTTCTAAATAGTCTGATAGAGAAAAAAAAGCTCTATCTTTCTATGCTATTTGATCGTACTTCAACTAATATCATAATATTAAATTATCTATAAAGCCTATTTCGGCTGGTTATGTGCTGGTTGTACAGGGTTGCCAAAAATGTTTTTCCATGGGGCGATCAGAAATCTTTTTTGCCTGTCGAACTTTGTAGAGCTATCTTTGCTGATCATTTTGGTAAAAAAATCTTTTGAGCGTGATCAATACATAACGGCGCTAGGGTCAAAATACTGGAAATTTCAAAATCATCTGGTTGATATATAGCGGCGGCGCCAGGATTTTGTTCCAGGGTGGGCTCAACCCACCTAATTCGAAAGCCTCGGGAATGTAATAGATACATTTTTCCTGAACAAATCGTATATATTTAATCTATATTTGTCGGATATATGAGTTGCAGAGCAATATACAGTCTAGCATGACTGTTAAATGAATGATATAAAAACCCCTAGGCAGCAATATCTTTATTGTAAAAAAGTTAAAAGTTGACATCAGCGTAAAATGATTCTACTGTTGTTGTGATTATTTGCAAAAGCATCTATCACTTTCTCAAAATCAATTTCAAATGAACGTTCTGTTGCTAAAACTGTTAAATCGCTAAGTCGACTTTCATCCATTGAATTTCTTGTATATGTTTTTATGAGCTTCATCTTCGAAAAACTTCTTTCACATGTAACTTGTGAAACAAGTATTGTTATCGCAGCTTTTATCATTCGAATTGTATTTGGAAATGCACCTGAAAACAGGTAGTGTTAGTTGTTCTGAATAAATATCCAAATTGATTCACCCTATTTGAAAAAAAATAATGTACAATTAAAGATTATCACAAAAAGCAAAATATTCTTAGATGGAACCATAGTGACATATGTCATTGTGAGTGAACAAGAAGTAAATTGACAATTCGTCGAGAAAGACTTTTCTGTTTATCTCCTCCACTTCGAACACTATCAAAAATCAATGTTAGCAATTCTAAAGTCTATAACAATAGAAATTCTGCTGCTACTTTTTTCCATTACAAAAAAAAATAAGATTTGTAAAAACTAAGACGCCTAGTTTTACTTCAAATTTTTTATTCCGATATCTTTAGTCTCACTTATATGACTTGAAACTATCATCTAGAACATGATTATTTTTCAAATTATTGATTGACTAAAGAATTATTGAATTACGATTCGTTTAATGAAAGAAATAGTTTCGATAATCTTTCTGGCTGATCTATCAGATCTTTTCTTTTCGTTAAAACATGTTTCAACGAGAAAGAAGGTTCAGTCCATGACACTAATTTTCAGATGTTGACTATCTATGATATCTCAGATGTTGCTGAAGGAAATTTGCGTTGATTATTCTTCAATAAAAATCTGTTACGAATTTTAACTTTTGGTATAGCGAGTATATTATATCATATCACATTACTTTATTATACTGAACAAGCTTAAGTAATAGTTGAGGGTGTGGGTGTGGGTGGGTGTGGGTGGGTGTGGGGTGTGGGTGTGAATGTGGGTGTGGGTGTGGATATGGTTGTCTATATCTGAAGCCAGAGACCAACACTCTACACCCACACCCAAATCCACACCCATACCCACATCCACACACCCCACACCACCCACACCCACCCACACTCATACCCACACACCCACACTCCACACTCACACCACACCCACACCCTTTTACTTTGAATCATGATATCCGAAAATATTTGAACTTAGATTTGTTCTGTCGATCAGAATATACTCATAAACGACTTCAGCAACGAAGAACTTAATGGGTTCCAAGATCTAAGGAGCAAAAGACGTCTTTGGAGTACTGTATTAAATGATGAAAGTATAAATTATAAAACGTGGCCATTGATAATGCCTCATCCGTTATAACAAACATGTTTCGAACATATTTATTTATGCAGTGTGGGTGTGAGTCATTCTTACTATGCTCACACCCACACCTTCAATTACATATTGGATTTATTTTGCAACATAATCATGTGTATCATTGCTTATTCTACATGTATCGATCTGGATTTAATTGTCGTAGAATGCATACCTGGATTGAAAAGAAATACTATACCTGTATCACCCATATTTTATACTTACATATCGACCTTGGTACTGTGCTTCGGTGTATGTCTGATTCATATTAACATTTTCGCTCTTAAATTTTCTCTTTTTTTTATTTTCATTTAATATCGGTTGTTATTAATCATCCATTTTTAGTTCTATGGCATTAGTACAAATTATACATCTACAAATTACTATATTAATCGTTAATGATACAATAAAACGAGAAAGAAAAACGAAAAACCATGAATCAGCTCGAACGTATAGTATATAAGGACAAGAGAGAAAGTACGATTTACATACATTTTTCAAATCAAAACCTACGATGAAGCTTTTTCTTCTTGTTGTACTTACATTCTTCATAAGTGTCAATTGTAATTTTATAAATCGAGAGTAAGTAAAAGTAAATGTTTTAATGTAGAAGAAATTGAAAAAAAATTGAAATACTTTGATATAGATGTAAATGCAAAGTTATTTCAAGCCAAGTTCATTTCCCGTATCAGTCATGGGAGATTTCATCATGCAAGCTTTGTGGATGCGAAGATGTTGCTACGAAGAATTGTGAGCAGGCATGTAAACTTTTAATGCAAGCCTATACAATTACAGGCTGCGGAACAGTTATTAAAGATAGCAAGGTGAAATATACATGGGATGCAGGTTCATGTTCAAGTGGTATGAGCAATGAAGAGTTTTCATGTGCTTAATTATGATCAGAATATTCAAATTATGCTTGTTTTTTATTTGCTTTTTAATCTCAATAGATTACTTCAGAACAAAGGCAAATTTTTCGATACAATAAACGTTTATATGTAGAGTACAAAGATTAACTACAGATGATGAAAAAAATGTATTTGATTGTCTGTAATTCGTTTTTAAATGTTGAAAATGTTTCATAATCATTTGTTGATTTCCTGTTTTGCTCTATTCTGCATAGAATTTCATCTAGCACAGATAAGTGAGAAAAATATAAATCTGATTAGTATTTCATACATTTATTTTAATTAAGAAATCGCCGGACGCTAATATAAAACCTATATATTTAGGTATTTCTTGTATTATAAATCACACAAGTCTAACTATAAAAAAAAGTGTAGTATGAGTGTTTTATTCACTTATTATATCGATAAACAACAAACCATAAATTGATATTTATCAAGTATATTTGTTGTTACAACTTAATGGCAGAAATAAAACGTTAAAGCATATTAATGATAGTCATATAACGAATAATCTAAAATTTTTCTGCAAAATTGTTTTTATTTTATTGATTATTGTCAACCACAAAGTCTTGAACTAAAAATCGAACATTAAATAATTCTATAATTTTGACTAAAATAAACTTTAGTTTCTTCTAAAGTATATTAGCATAAAGCACTATGGATCACTAAATACAAATCAAGTTTTACGCTTTTTTAACATTCACGGCTTTCATATTATTTTGCATGAGTATTCTGTTTGAATAAACTAGGGGCTTCGTGTAATAGTGTAAATATGCAAAAAGAAAAGATCCGTACCCAGCCAAAATAAAAACGCTTAACAGACTTTCACGCGTGCACTAGGATAAGGTCATCCAACTCAGAGTTCTGGTAAAAACAATAGATCGTTGTAATATGCATGAAATGAAATAGACCAAAAATAGTAGAATGTGTTCAAAATCTACGACTTATTCAGTCAAAAGAAGGGAATAAACAAATTGTGGGTTTTATAACAAAAAAACAAAGATTATATATATACGAAGTTAACAAAATATGAAAGAATGAATATCTACAGATTATGTCTTGCGACCAATCTTTCTATTATTCTACATCTTACATGATCATCACAATAGCCATTTTGCTTTCCATCAAAATTAATCATTGCTTGATGTTCATTTCGTCATTAGTCTCTATTTATCAAAGAAAATTCAACAATATTGACAATTTACTAATAATATGTACCGCTTCTCCACTATTTATAGTTCATAATCATAGATTTCAATGATAAGTTCGGTTTTTTAAGTATAGACTTTATCATGCAGATCTTCAAATTTTATGAATTGTCTATCAATGCATTTAATCGCATGTATTAGATAAATGTCGATCGGTTTGTACAATCACAAATTTCAAATTAATTTTTTTGGGGCGAATGAATATATTAGAATCTTATCACTTTTTATTCCAAATGTAACAATGAATAACTTGTCGTTGAACTTTGCTAATCGAATAATCGAAATCGGTAAAATATCATTCATAAAATTCCTTTTTTCACTATATGAGGTCAGAAGTCTAATTGGCTTAGAAGTTCATTAATACTTGTGGAACATGGTTTATGTCATGGGAATGAATGATTTTGTGCTTCCGATGAAATTGACTTTATTAATGCAAAGTTTCTTGGTGAATATTTATAAATTTTTACAGAAATCAGAAAAACTCTTAATTCACCACTGGATGTATTCTGTTTGTCAGATGATGAAAATGTATCAAATAAAGCATATATAAGCGTGTACTAACTAAATACTAATTTTTCACATCTGCATAATTGTTTACATCATTGTCTTTGGTGATACTATCAGCAATTGTATACTAGTCTGATAATGATTTCATTAACAGAGACAGTACTGGCGTGAGAGTTCCGGTTACTGATTGCAATTTCTCTATCAGATAATGCTGATATCAGAATAATACATGAAATTAATGTTGAGATAAAGTTAAAGCTCAATGGAGCACGAGCAACCACAGCATTTACCACTGATCTTCTGTTGCTCATTACAATTCAGCGAATCTTTCATAGTACCAAACAAAATATAGTTAATACAAAAACAAAGGACAGGAAGATAAATATTATGAAATATCATTCTCTCACGAATCTAGTAGTCTATTGCAAGACGATAAATACAAGTATGTCAAGAAATCAGATATAAAACTGGAACAGTATAGCACATAATACAATAAATGACAGATCTATAGTAAAATATTACAGGTAACTTCATATGTATACAAAGCAGTCTATATGGGCTAGATCATTCGTTAGCGAGGTGATATCGCAAATTTGCAGTATGCATATCTAGAAATTATCAGCCAGTTTAGGTGTGATTTTTACTTGTTTTAAGAGTCTCCATTGAATCTAGACATAATAAAAAAATCAACATTCTAGCGCTGTGCACAAAAGAGTTATTAAAGAACAAACATCGTTAACGATGGGTGTGACTGTGGGTGTGGTGAGTGTGGATGTAGAGAAGGAAATATTCACATGCACACCCACACCCACATTCACACCATCCACACCCACACACCCCACCCACATCCACGCCTACACCCACGCTCCACAGCCACCCACACCCACACATCTACACCCGCACACACCCACACGCCACACCCACCATCCACACAACCACACCCACCCACACTCGCACTTACTCAAAATACAACAGTTGAATATCACATTAAATTCGTTTACCTATAAACTACTAACATCATTTGCAAAATGTACCAGTTAATCTGAGTCAGCTATTTTCTGGTAAATCTTTAGTTTTTTATATGAATAAACTTCTTANAAAATTATGGTAAATAGTCGATATCTCATTCAAATCCCAACTTGGGCTCATATCCTTTTAGGCTTTTCCTAGTCTATGCATCCCCTACTTCTGGGCAAAATTTCAGCTCAAAAGCTTTTTGACACCTCGGGTGGTTCCCTCGTAAGTGTCTCTGTATATAGGACATGAGAAGTAATGAGTACTCGCTTTATTCAACATATAGCTCCAAACGTAAAACAATATGCGAGTGGAACGATAGCCGATCTGAATCGGTAACCGATTAGATCGGTTATCGTCACCGTTGCATACCTAATTGGATCCTTTTGATCTCTTTGATGAATGGAGGAAAACGACAATCAACGAAGTAGAAAAAGCATTATAAAAAAGCTTATTATGAACTCATCGAAGTAATCCGGAAACAAAAAATAACAATAATAAAACCTCTGGAACCAATTACAGAAGAAATTCGTTTTCGTCGAGAAGTAAAACATTTTGTTGAAACTGTAATTGATCGACTTAAACAAAAATTCATGAAATACAACAAAAGGGTGTTGGTGTGGGTGAAGAGCAAATCATACCCCCACCCACACCCTCATAATTAACTAAAGATACCAGCGATTTTCCCCGAAAAAAACTTAGAAGAAAACTGGTTTCTTGCACTGTGTTAAGCGAAAAAGCGCGGCATTGAATTTAATCGTTGTAGTCTCCTTCAAATAAAACAGTAACCTGATTTGTAACTGCAAATTTATTATTGGCTTTTGTTCAAGTTTTTATAAACCTCAGCGAACTTAACTATCATGACAGGAAACTGATTTATCTATTCAACATCTCTGAAGATTTCAAAAAGGTGTTTTGTCAATACTCATTGTCTGTTCACATCGCTATAGCACCATAAGTAGGGCTACTTAATTCGAGTATGGATACACATTTTCTTTCCACCCGCACACTAATATTTGCATACAAGAAATCCGACCAATTCAATTTATTATGGAAATATTCATAACGTCATTTATTTCTGTAATTAGTTGATGTGTGAAGAATTCTCTGCTCAGTTGAACTGAAAAAGAAGTTCGAATAATGAGTAAGCCAGTTCGAGAAGAACTGTTCTAATTTGCGATCATCGATATTTTCCAAACCTAAACACACGAAGAGGTGAGACAAGTTTTCCGAGTGGATGATGTCTACAACTAATTTTATGTGCAGCACGTGAGCTGTATATAAGTGGAGAATACCGGGCCAGACAATCCCAGCAGAATTTACATCGGCATTGTCGACAAATTATTTGATCACAGCCAGCGCTCTTCTCAATATTGAACTGACATCCGGGACATTTTTTCGAATTTTTTTTAATCCACTTGCGTGTCTCTGCATCAGTCGCAAGGTACAATCGATCGTATAAATCACAGGTCATGCCTTCGTGCCATTTAACGCGATGATACGCACATGTATTTTTTTGGCATACGATGCAAATAATTTTTGAGTTCCGAGTTGATCCTCTATTATCATATTGACCAGAACCACATTCATGAGCACATAAAAAAAATTTGTCGTCATTTGCGAGGAATCGTCTGATCAGAGAAGCATTATATTTTTTCAACAATAAATTATCAGTAGTTACCAAGAGCACCTGATAAACTTCTTCTAAATTCCACTTTGCCAAACAGCTTGTTTCAGGACAGGACACTTGGTCATTAATGGTACTCTCGAGAATAACTTTGATGCTATAGGATGTGCAAGAGTTGCAAATATAACGGTGAATATGTTGACATATTTCACTAAACTTAGGATAATACTCTTGTTCAAGTTGCTTGACGAAACATACAGCACATTCAAGTGTCTGTGTCGAGGTTTCACTATAATTGAGAACATTCAAGTATACAAAGTAGATTCCTTTGAACAGGGAACAACTGTCAATGATAGAAAAGTAGAAAACATTCGATACATATCTCGACTGAAAAACTTCACAATGAAACCTGATGAAAATTTTCAAAGTGATATGTCTAGTTTTCACATGTCGACATGATTGTCTGAGTGCAAACAAATACATTTTCTAAGCTCAAAGTCGAAATTTCTACTACTGCTAGTAAATAGAGATCATTTGTCTAGAAATATTTGAAAAATGTGAAACAAGATGTTATTGACAAACTCGAAAGTGAAAATAATATGTATTTGACATTTCTGAAGTTTTGTTCACTTCAAGGTTTTATTTCCAAGATTTCGTTACTTAATCATTTTCCAGACACACGAATGATTCTAACAGAAGTTGCTGTTCCTGAATTTCAATAGAGTTTTAGTTTCATTCAAATATCACTTAATAAAGTAATTTATGGTTGAATGATCGAATTACGTTTGAAAACTCTTGAATACTAATTTCTCGTTATTTACAAGCAGACCTACATGGTTGAAATAAGTTTTGAATGAGGAAACTAAGTATTCATTAAAACTTTAGACAAACATGATCATTTGTACTAGTCAATGAATTGCAATGAAAACGGTAGCTATAAATAATTTCATCAAGCTTACTCTTCTTGGACAGTAACAGTTTTCGCTGCCAACACTAAATTAGATTTATCAGGTGTGTTTTGATTCTGCTTCACTTCACTCTAAAAAATATGAACTTAGATATGTTGCAAAGAAAGTTTATCACAATTACATGTTGATAGTTATCATCATGCAGCAGATGAAACTCGTTTGGGTTGGTTGAATGATAGTAACTAGACTCAACTTGATGCATCCTGAGATCAGTTGTTTGATACTCATCACCTACAATTAAAACCAATACATTCAAATTCTCTGTTATGTAGATCGTAAATATCCTTTAGATACTGAAAATAGGTGGTCACTTAGAGACATTTTCTCATTAGCAAACCAAATTTGAATCTCATCGATATGATAACTAAACAATTACCCACAAGTAACGTTTATCGACATCGAAGGTCGATTCACTGGGCCCTAGACTGACGGAATGAAGAGGACGATGTGTTTCACATTCAGCACCCAGACTCAATGGAGCGACTCGCCTCCCTCTCCAACTACCCGCCGTTCCATACATGCATCTGAAACAACGTCATGCTTTACGAGTATAAACAGTTCTTGGACACTAGAATGGTCATTTGTGCCATGGAAATGGTAATTTATGCCAGTGTTACAGACAGGCAGACAGACAGACAGGTGAATTACGGTTTCTAGACCCTATCCTTTCAGTCTAGGGAATAGAAAATGGCGGCAGAAGAACAAAAATGAACAAAATTTCAAGTTCGAACACTTGAAACAAAAGAAAGTTCGAGCTTCTTGACATTCAGCATGCTAATAATCTTTGCCTAACAATGAAAAATTGTCTGTATTGCATTCAACTTGCCTCAATGCTTGTAATACTATACCTTTGACAGTGTGCTTTAGATGTCTATTAATGTTCACAACATGCATCTTCCTTCATACTACTGATTAGTAAAAGTTATTTTTGTCTATAGGCATTTGTTTTTCTGAGTACTGCTTCAGTGAAAGTTTTAGTTGTCAAAGAAATGCTATTTCATCGCAGATTTTTCCAATAATTTCTTAAAATATTGACTACGAGTAGTATCATATCAGTCTCTTAAAAAAAAACAAGTCTTTCATTCGGTCTTTATTTTAACGCATAGATAACTATTCAACGTTCATCGAAAATAGATATCTACAAATTGTTGAAAGTGCCTTCGACCTTAATGTTATTTGCTTACTTTCGCGATAGATCTTGAAGCGATTAATTTACTAAATAGCGAAAAACCTACTAGAATATCATTAGGCTAAAGAGAGAAGCCAGAAGAGCTATTAATGGAAAACTACAAGGGTTATCGGAGGATGAAACTCGTCACTAAAATGTGCACTTTCGAGAACAGAGAAGTATAAAATGAGATTGATATTTTCAATCTTTTGCAGAAAAGTATGGCTTCTATCGATTATTTGTTTTTATGTTTTTCAATGAACTAGTGAAGGAGCAAAGACAATTGAATTGTGTAACGTAATATATACGATACTTTTATTGAAATCAAAAGCCTACTTGCATATCTATTATGGACTAACTTTTTTATCTACATATGAAGAAACTGCAAATTCAACTTTAGCTGATTGATGACCATGAATATTCCTCGAAGTTTTGTACAATGATTTTACGTGATTTACTCACTGTTTGCTTGGAGCTGCTTATCCACTGTATTCGATGATTCTGAAACATTTCAATATTACCATAACAATATTCTTGATCTAGATTTTTAATCTTACGAAGGGTTGATGATGCCTGAACGCGATGACGTATTTTGTGTTTTCTTGTATTGACTGATGAATGTCGATGATTAGGCGGCGAATTTTTTGAATGCTTTTTTTCGTACAAGCTCAAGCCAGTTGTATCAACATATCGACGTGCTGATACTTGTCGATAAAACATGTCCTTAGTTTGTCTTGCATAACCTTCAATTGAAAATAAACAATATTTTTTTTTTCAAAAATCAACAATAAAAAAAAGAACCTGTTCGGACAGTTGCTATTGTTATTGATCCAATATCAGTTAAAAGCTTATCATCTTCATAATTCTTTTCAAACTTCATATTGGATACATATGACCGAGCACGATGAAGATCATCTTGTTGAAGAAGATTGGATATGTGTGGAATATCAGTTTGATACATTTCACTAAAATCCATATTTGCTATTATTGATGTCGGTTGTGAACGAAGTCTTTCTCGTGATTCCTTCAACAATTCTTCTAAATGGTATTGTATTTATTGAAAATAGTTTGCTATTTGATCATCAATGTTATGTGATTGTGATCTTTATCTTACGTTTAGTTCAAAAGCAATATTATGGTTAAAAACATCTAATTCATCAGGTACTCGGTGTATGGTATGTTTTGCTTTATCAGATGCCGGTTCTTTTGATGAACTGACATATATGAAACTGTCATAAGATGAAGATATTTGATAGTTTCCTAGTGGGTAATGATCATAATTGTGTGCAGAGCCCAGGCAGACAAAATTTTCAGAAAAAGCATTTAAACGCACAGAAATTGGCCTAAAATCAACAAAAATTGGACGCTTTAGGCTTACACTTGAGGTTCACGACTGTGAGCCAAAACAGCCCATTTTTCGCTCTTTTTGTGCGTTTAAACGCGTTTTCGGACTAATAACGCGTTTACATGCATACAAAAAAGAGAAAAAAGTTGTTGTGTTTGTCCAGTTCAAGAAACGTGACTGTAATCACGGTCGTGCATCTCGAGTATGAAAAAACGACCACTTTTTCTTTTTTTTTTTATATAAGTGTAAAAGCGTTTTTTGTCCAAAAACGCGTTTAAATGCACAAAAAGGGCGAAAAATGGGCGTTTTTGGTTCACAGTTGGAAACCTCAAGTGTGAGCCAAAAATGTTCATCTTTTGCTGATTTTAGGCCAATTTTTGTGGGTTTAAACGCGTTTTCTCAAAAGTTTGTCTGCTCGGGAAGGGATTTGTTTAGCTGTAAGTTGTTTCACTAGTGAATAATTGTGCCCGTTTTGATAATCCATGTATGACTTTAACTCTTGCTCATGCGGAGATCGTCATGCTGGCTGATATCCAACTGATGAAAGACTTAGTTGGCTACTAAATATGTGTTCAAGTTCGACGACGCGGATCATTTCTGGAATGAAATGTTACGAACAAGCTCAATTTTAATCGAACTATGTCCGTTTTACAAAAAAAAACAAAGATTTATGAGTTTACTTCGAATAATGTTTTTAATAGGAGCCTGATAGAGTACTGCAGTTTTTACAGAGAGGAAGTGGTGCTCAACACGTATCGAAGTATGTATCGTATATCTTTCTAGAAAGTTTTCTCGACAGTTTAGAATTAAACTTTTTGGAAACTAGGGCACCGCATCTGGTCACTACAGTGAATTTTCGATATTCTAAAGTATCCTAGAATCTTAAATTGAAAAGTCCTAAAAGAAATTGTATACGATCAATATTTTTAACTTCATTCATTCAGGACTTACGAACATTTGTTTGTGAGCTTCTACACAACTTTTTCTGAAAAACAGGAAGAAAAATTGTCTTTTTCATTATATTGTCATGCAGCTTTGCTTTATCAATATACTTGATTAGCTGAATTCTTTTGAAAAACAAAATCAATAGGAACGCTTAACTAGCACGAAAGAAAAATTGTTTCATGATCTATGATATATTGTTATTTTTTTTAACGATAAAACTAAAGCTCTTTATTTTATTCTTATCAGAAATTATTTATAAAAACACTCATCGCTCTACTTTTTTGAAATGGATAACAATACCTGCTGAATTTTCACCAACTGATGTATCATAATCAGAACGATTCGGGATATATCTAGCAGCAAATAATTTACTTGAGTATTTGTTGGCCATTATTTACGTGTAAACCGAAGGGTGTTGTTCATAGGAAAGAAAAATGCACTATTTGTAATGGTATAATGGATATACATTAATAGAAACTAATAAGAGTAGTGAGGACAGAATCAACCAAGCATTTACTATCTGGCCTAATTTTAGATCAGCGTGCGTAATTTCATCTAATACATATGCATCGAGTCGACGAGCGAGAAGTGTCCTACTAATACGTTGACGACGAAGCTCATAAAGGATCCTATCAAAAATCATTATATTTTTCCCCATCCGGAAAATATTATAAAATGAAAGTGTCTTAGTAGTATATAACTGCCTTGGTATCCCAGGTCAAGACGAACAGTTAAAGAACGCGTTCCGAACATAGCTTGCGAACGCGTTTGCAGCATCGTTTGGAACACGGTTTTTCGCGTTCCAAACGCATTCTTTATACCGTTCCATTCAGGTTATTCGTGACGTTCGATGTAATCGAAAACGCTGAATTAGACGGTCTATATACCGGCACTCCAGTTGCTCTCACAAAGAGCACATTTATTTTCGTATATAACGATTTTTTTACAATTTCTGAAGTACATATTCACGTGGAAAATAAAAAGAAAGTAAAATAAAGAAGATAGAGATAACAAAATGTAAAATTTCACAAATAAAAAACTATTTCATAAAGATACATTTCGAATAGCGAATCAAGAAACAAAAAGATAAAGAAAAAGTTCTACAAATAAGAGAAAATTTACTTGTTAGAATATCGATGTTAGTTTCATTTATTGTTCACTGTTGGTAATGCTTGTTGTTCTTCATCTTCATTATTTGTAGTTGGTTTAGCATTTTCATTATTCGTAGTTGGATTTGTTTTGATAGAAGTTAATCTTAAAAAATTAAAATCTGTTTCATTAAACGTCACTTCAGTCAAAACTTACACTGATTTATTTTCTCGAAATGAACGTCCTCGTCTTTGATTACCACGAACAATTTTACCTTGATTACTCCAAAATGCTTCTATTTTGTCGTTGTCGTTGTTAAAAAAATAAGCGTTGATGGCTTCTGAAACAGATATCTAAATCCTACAGCAATGATGCTATGATACAGGATGGTTACGTTTTATTTTCATTGTTCGTTCATTGATTTGTTCGTGTTGTCGGTTAATTATTTCTTCGTTGGTGAACAGTTGATTAATTAATGTTTTCATAAGACCAGCAGGAGTTTCAATTATAATACCAGATAATATATTTCGTCCAATGTAATTCTAAAATAAGAAGTTAGAAAAGAGGAAAACAGTAAAACTTACGACGACTGGAAGATTAGCAGATGGTTCACTTGTTGTTGGATTCTAAACCAACGAGACATATGTTATTAATTAACTGTGGCTTCACTATTTAAAACTAGTGCTGTAGGTGATATCAGTTATATATTTCACCTACTATATTCAGCTCTGACGAAACATCATAAAAAGTTGCAAACATTCAATATTTTCAGTTTTACTTGAATTCTTCCTATCTTTCAAATCTTAGATTTTGTCAACAGAACGTTGATATAACTGATTAAGTATAACTTCTTTAATTCTTAATTATATAATGCTAGTTTTAAACTTAATCAAAAACTCTATCTTATCATTCGTTGTCTCAGCTAAATTTTTGGTTAATAATCTTAATAAGAGAAAGCTCTATTACCTTATGAATACGTCTAGAACTAGCTTGAAGTTGCTTATCAACATTGTCCAATTTTTTTTCAAATGTACTTCCTCGTTCTGTTAATATATCAACTTTTCGATTAAGATCTTTGAACATATTTTGAATGATTTTGAAACTTTCCATTAATGAACCTTGTGGTACATCGTCAACTTCTTCTTGTAAACGTTTTCGTTTGACTTGAGGTGTATAATAAGCGCCTACACACAAAACAAGTTTAGTGGTATATAAATATTTGTTTACCAGTGTTCTTATTATGATATGGACGTCGAACAGAAGATTCACATTGCTGTTGACTATAAAATGATACATCTCGAATAATTGGATAGTCTGAGAACAAATTACATTGAACGTATGGATATGTACTATTAAAAAAATAAGTTTACTGTTATCAATTTCATTTTCATCAGCTGAGCACTCATCCATATCGTCGATAAACGGCGCTTTAATATTTGAAGCACCAGCTGGTAATTTTCGAGCTCGACCGGGTGTAACAGAACTATTGTAACGTGCCATCTTTTCAATGTAAAACATTTAATATTTATGTAAGATATTACAATGGGAAAAAGAATGAATACACTTACTTAATTAGAAATGAACGATTTTTGAATATAAAAATGAATCTAAAAAATATAAAGTACTCTTAATAGAAGTCTTACAATCGTTCATTTTTTTCAATCATGTTCTGTTTCAAGTTCAATTGGTGTACACACAAGAAATTCATTATTAAGTGGAAAAAAAAGACATTTTGATATAATAGATAAACATGGAAGAATGACAAGATCAGATGTAGAACGACGTACAATTGAATAGTACTTATCAATGTACATTGACCAACTAGTAATCTCTTCCATCGGTTTCACAAGGGAAGAAAACTTGTTTTTCGAATTAAGAAATCGTTTGAAGAAAAAAAAGGCTCCTTTTTTATATAAAAGAAAAACAATATTTGACCATAATATAAACCTGAATTTGTATTGTCAGTGTCAATGCTCACACGGACATTGTAACTGTTACAATTTTTACGCCGAGTGTACATCAATGAATGATAAAGGGATAATCCACGTCGATATCTACAATAATATTTCAATGATACATCAGGAAATATGCCAAACATTTGGTTGTAAACCAAATAGAACTCTTGTTGATAATTTTGCATCATGTTAAAATCGAAAAATGTATCATCAATAAGATATTCATTAGTAAATAATGTTGGACCATATTGCACTTGTTTTGATTGAATTTGACTAAATACAGACCACCAAAACGATATTTGTTCGCCGAGAGCAATAGAACCATGAGCTAGTTTTGCAAAATGCTGTAAGCAACTTTCCGAAGCGAATAAACTAAAAAAGAAAGATATAATACTATATTGTGAGAAAAAATTCACTCTAAACTTGAGACGTTTACCTGTGATATGCCAATCCACCATGATCCAATACTTGCTGCCATAGATGACATAATGCATGAACTGAATATATTTCTTTACATTTATCATATAGAGAAGAAAATAAACGCAGATATGCATCTATGAATACGGGCACTTGTAAAACTTCATCACGGTCATCGAAGTGCCGTAATACACGAATATAAATAAATAGTAAAGAAAAGTGTGATATATAAATCTCTGGAAATGCACGAGGCATGACAAGACGTAATCGTACCAGAACTGGCATCGTAACATACACCATAAATGTTCGTAATTGTGAAGCTTTCCATTTTCCATATTGACCTAGATCTCTGGGATAACGATTGAACGAATGTGGGTATTCAATTTCATTAAGATAATTATTGATACATGTTAAAGCATTCGGATCATATTTAATAATATCATACCAAACACTTAGTAAATATCTGTGACATAAAATGATAAAGTATTGAATATGCACAACGAAATGTTTAAAGCAAAATTATATTTTAGTTATTCAAATTTCAATCGTATTGATTCAGTCAAGAAAATAACTAATCACTTTTACATAACATAAAAATAGAATAATAATTTTCATTTAAATATAATCACTCAAAAGAATATAAAAGTTACTATTACTATATTCTATTATACGATATAAACTGCCTATTTTACTGATATGTGAAATTCTCAACATATACAAGTACACGATCTATTTTAATAGTTTCAGTTAATTGTAGAGAAAAGAAAGTCATAATGACGTTTTTTTAATCGCTTACCGAAGATGTATTTCCAACACTAAATGAAAGTAATCAAATGTTGATTGCTTCGGCACAGATAATAATGAGAACAATGGAGAAATACCCTTAACACCAAAACAAGGTTCCTTTGAGAGTTTAGCTTGTTTAGCACATTCATCGATATGTTTTTGTGTGCGCCGTTGTGGTGGTGATCGACTAAAATCAGACCAACGATAAAGCGTGTGATTTTCACATGGTGCTGAGCAACGAACACCTTCCATCAAACACCGGGAACAGGCAAAATAACCATTATGTTGAGTTAATTGATTGCATTTAGAACGAGCTGGTAAGTCACCACTGATTAATTGAACATCCATAGAAAAATGTTTTATTCCTAAAGTAAATAACGAATCGGCAAAACCAAATAAAATTAAGAAAAAAATGAAGGCTTTAAAAAAAATAGATCAGTACAATAGACAACATACAGTTCTACAGGTGGTAAAACTATTAATGTTAGGATTAATTAATTAAATGACTCAGTTATTTCTCGATTATTAAATAAGAATTAACATACTATTGCCAATTTGTATATTAACGCCAGTAGCTTTTATCAATTTAATATTGTCCACGATTTTTTGAAGTAATAACGAAGCGGGTGGTGATACTGGCGCATGCCATAATCCAAGTAAAATAGTATTATTAAGATATTCACGAATTGGAGGAGGAATTTCGACGAGAAAAGCCATAACCTAAAACATAAAATAAGGATTCTAATCGATTTGAATAAAAATACTTACAGGCCAAACACTACTTTGAGTTTGTTTCGATTTAATAATTGGCTTTCCATCTGTGCTGAGCATTAAAGTCAAAGAAGGTCCATGTAAATTCTGTTGTTGTTTATAAATACAACCTTGAAAAGAAACAAGTTGTAGTATTGTTCTTTGCGTAATCTGCGCCTTACTATTCACGATGTCCGCATTAATTTGATGTTCATGTTGTTGATACCATTCTATCAACTTAATATTTGATCGAACAACTCTTTGTAATTCATGTAGTAATGAAAAAATATAAAGCTCTGAGTTGTTTCTTTGATTGTTGTTGCACACAACACATTTATCTTCAAATCTTATCAATGGTGAAAAGCAACTAGAGCAAAAAAAGAATGTTTCATAGGTAAATGAAACATCAAGTTGTTTCCATAATGAATTTGTTGTTGTTGGAATATCACGAATTGTTGATGTATTTGTTAATCGTAATAATGACAATAATAATGATGTTGATGTTTTGTTTAAATTCGATTGTCGAATAAAATCTACCATTTTGTACAAAAATTTTTCATGATTTGTACTTTGATTTTCGATTGATACATCATTTGCATCTGTATCAGATTCATCTGAATGTTCGCTTTCAAAATCTTTTACATCCAATCTTGGGAATATATCACTATTTAACGTACTTTCATCATTCATATTGTCGTAATAATCATCTGCAACAATGTAAAAAAAAACTTAAGATCGGACGAAGTAAAACGTAGATTTATTCAAAATCAAAAATCTTTTTACCTTTTTTGTATAAATCTTCTGGTACAACATCAATATTATTTTGTTCTTCATCATCATTTGGATCACCAATAGAATCGATGGTACTGTTTATATTTGCTATAATAATAGTACAAAATTTTATAAAAATTTAAAAACTATATGAACAAACTTACTTGAATTTAAAAAAACATTTTTTGGAATGGAATACAAACTTTTTTCGTAAACGCGTTGTCGATATCTTAAGTATTGTCTTCTTCTTAAATCACGATCTATATGAAATCAGTAATAATAAAATATTGTAAGACGCAATTTAGGAATGAAGATTACGCTATGTCTGAAATTGACTAACATGTAAATCATTGACACCTGTTGTATGTTCATCAATTGGCTTATTCATTATATTAACTGAAAAATAAGTTCCTATCTAAAAAAACAACGTGTATAAATTGGCAATTGATGTAAAAAAATAAAATAAAAAAAATATACTTATCTAAAATAATTTTTCATGAAACCTATTTTATAATTTTTTTTTCTTCGCGATACTTAATTAAAACTAAAAAAAAAAAGTATATTTTAAGTTATATTTTATATATGTGAAAGGATGCCATTTTTTATTTGTTATTCACTCGTAGCCTCTACAAAGGAGACGAGAACGCTTACGAACGCGTGCGGAACAAGCGACCTCTATAAAATGCGTTTAAAACGCGTTCAGAATGCGTTTTCATACGTTCGCTCGTTTAGAACGCATTCTTTAACCGTTCGTCTCGACCTGGGATTGGTTTATTCGGATCTCATCCATTTTCTGGACAAAAACTTACATGTTAGTGTCAACAGATGTCACATTATGACGCTAACTTATGTCCAGTGCATTATATACATATATATGTTTTTTTTTCTTTCCTGTCGTATATGTACATGTTCCATTGATTATCATGAGATCATGATGATCTATTCCATATTGCGTCATTCTAGTTTTTTGTATTATGTTTTTTGTTTTTTCTTTTCATATTCTATATATGATCTTGTTTTTCTCTCGTTATTTGGATCATTGTTGTTTTTCTCTTGTTATCATTGTTTTTTCTTCTGTTATTATTAGTTATTATTATTTTTTCTTTTATTATCGTTGCTCATTATTATTGCTGATCAACATCATTTTCAACATTATATATATATATATGTGTGTCATTATTGATATTCATCAATAAAGATCAGATTGAATTTATATATATACATCTATTATTACTATACATTTATTCCAAAGTACGGCAGGCAGTTTTCACGTGAGATTTCTTGTCGTTAGATAGTTTAGATTTATATACGATTTTCATTTAGCCTACGAAAGTTTCGGAGGCTGAAGTCATCATCATATACATCCCCAAAGAGAAACCTCACATTACAGAATATCAGAATTCTCTGTGCTGCCCTAGAAAAAAAATTAGACAACTAAGTTTGAGCAATAAGTAATATTTAAGCAATAGTTTTCAATCAAGTCCAATGACATTGAGACGGATCTACTATTTATCTGCTAGTTTTATTTTAACTCAAACGAATGAGGGTGCTATTTGTATCCAACTGATTTAAATATATGTGATTTTTTTGAAAAATTCAGAGTTGTCTGTTTGTTTATCTTTAATTACGAACTGATATAACATGATACCTTGCACATATATTAGAAATGAGAGAAAAGCGTTCGCCTACAATTGGTGTGATCAATTCTTGCGTTCTGTTATTCATGCACGTTGGACTGTAAAAAAAATACAATCTTTCTTTCTCTGACTAAAACAATGTGCATTAACAACAGAATACAAAAGTGATATGTATTACTTTTGACAACTGTCATCCTTCTAGTAATATAAAGTAACAAAAATAACAACCAATATGAAATCGAATTAAATCAAATGAAAATAGATGAAACTATCTTTTTCATTTTACAAATGTAATAACTTGGATATTTCGGACATAGCAATGCCCATCATCAGCAATAGATGTAGAAGTCTACCATAATTGCTGTTGTAATTGAATTAATATAATAGAATTGAAGATTATGGATTTTTTTATTTCAAGCAATATAAAGTAACAAAAATAACAACTAACATGAAATCGAATTAAATCAAATAAAAATAGTTGGAACTATCTTTTCATTTTAAAATTGTAATAATTCCCTCTAGTGAAAGGAGGATCTTACGCCGAAATGAGTTGGTCACGTTCGTTCGTTCTTGTGTCTGCATGTGTGCGCGCGTGTGTGTGTACGTGTGTGTTCGTTCGCACAGAACGGAAAAAATATTGTCTTGATCTGTTTCAACTGATCCACCTATAAAGTTTCATCAAAGGTAATCGGGGTCGGGGAACTCGAATCCGTGATTAGTTTCTTGAAATTTTGAGTTTTGCTTTTTTTACGACAGAGAAAGCCTTTTTTGTGAAAAAAAATGCTTTTTTATAAAGTTTGACCAAAGGTAATCGGGGTCGGAGAACTCGAATCCGTGATTATTTTTTTGAAATTTTGACTTTTGCTTTTTTTAGGACAGAGAAAGCCTTTTTTGTGAAAAAAAAATGTTGTTTCCCTTTTCTGAAAGAAAGGGTCTTACATTTGGAAAAAGTATGAATGTTTGTCTGTCCAAGTCAATAAGAAACGAGCTTTTCTAATTTAAGGTTTCTGGCCATTCCGATGAAACTTTGTGATAGGTTATCGGAGACGAGAAATTCGAATCCAAGATCAGATTTTTTATCTGAGCTTTCATTGGTTGAAAAACTGACAAATCAGAAACGAGTTTCTCTGCTTTTTGCGTTTTATACGCTTTGGTGAAAACTTGCTATAGGTTATCGAGGACTAGGAGTATAAATCTGGGGTGGATTTTTCATTGAAGCATCCGTTTGTCGAAAAGCTGATGAACAAAAAAGAAGTTATTCTATTTTGCAGGTTGTGCGGGTTGCGATAAAATGTCGTGTGTGGGTCGCATGTTGTTGATGACAGGTGTTCTATTTGTGGTAATAAATGGGAGGGAGTTGTGTAGATGTGCGTAACGAGTGTTGGTGTTAGGATTGTGACTGAAATAGTTATTCGAACGACTCGGATACACACGCTAATACACTCACGCGATTACAGCCACAACTACAACCAAAATTACGCTAAGTTGGACACTGTTAATAAAATGCGAGTAGAAGTTTTCGAGGATGAGGAATCTGAATCAAAAGTTGCTTTGTGAAGTTGAGATTTCAATTTTTTGGTTATGAAAGGGTTTTTTGGAGAAAACAAAGATCTTGTCATAAGGTTTGTATGAAGATCTTCAAGATGAGACATTCGAATCTAAAGTGAATTCGTCTTGGTACCCTATTAGAGGACAAGCATATGATGTGTTGTGAAACTATTGCTGGGAACTCAATCAAATACTAGAGGAGAATATGTAGGAGAGATAGAAATTATAGAGAAACAGAAGGCGTAGGAGATACAGTATGTGTGGAGGATACAGAAGGTGTAGAAGATATAGTAGGTATAGGGATACAGGAGATATAGGAGATACTCGAGATATAGGAGACATAAGAGATATAGGAATTATTAGAGATATAAGAAATATAAGATATATTGGGGGTACAGAAAGTATGAGGAGTCATATATTAAGGACGTCCAGTACAGAAGAAAATTTTTAGAAGTAGACTCACTCAAATATAGCATTTCTTTTATGTCAAATAAAATTCTTGAAAATTTTGTCGAAAATAAAAATAAAAATATGCAGATCAACAAAAGAAGATAAAATGGGCATTCGATAAACTCTAAACAAAAATCTATGCCACTGAAGGATTTTCCTATAAATATACTGCATTTTTAAGAGCAGAAAATATTAGAAATACGCAAAAAAAACAATAGGCAAATCCCAATGTGATGGAATAAATCCCCCGTTGCTATTTTATTTTAAGAATGAATATAAATACGTACGATACAAACAGCGAAAAAGCAAACATGATGAAGAAAAACAAAAAAATTATGCATACATGTCTGAAAAGAAACTAAAACGATAATTGATGAATCCATACATAGGTATGTACATTGCAAATGTTCTTGAACATAACCATGATAAGTAGTGACGGTTAGAATCCGTAATAATGCAAGTGCATTTGCATGAGTGCAGATAGAGAACATAACCGAAGCGATGAGGAAACAGTGTAGAAAAGTACAACGGAGAAAAAAAACTAATCTGAGCACGAGAATAATAAGAAAATTACGAATAACACTCAAATATAGATCAACGTAAAAACAAAAAGTGAACTATAACATGCTCGATTAAATATTCACGATGAGAAATCGTAGCAACATTAGATAACTGTAGCGATAAACCACAAAATAGAAGCGAGAAAAAATGAACATGGGCGAGTATTAATGCTAATAGTTGTGATAGCAACAGATACGAAGAGTAGAAGAGAAGAGAAAGAAAAGGTTTGGCTAATGTTCATTCCCGTGAAAAATAAATTCGATCACGATAATTCGATTATTTCAGTATTGAAAACAGGCGTCAAAACGATTGCTAATAAATCATGGTTCGACTAGAAAACGGTCGCCTGTTATTGCATCAATGAATCGACGGTGTTGAGGGATGTCAGAGATGAACCAGGTGGGTGTTGGACTGCGTGTTGATGATTGATTATGTGTTCTGGAGATGGAGTTGTTAGATGGAATGATACTAGGGACATTGGCGGCTGGCCGCAAAGTGTACTATATAGGCGTGGTCGATAGAATTTCCTATAAAGTTGCTTGGGTGAGAAAGGTTGTTGTTTGGATGATGGATGAGGAGCGATAACTGGGCACAGAGGAGCATAAAAAAACATCAGAGGAATGCGAGCAGAAGAAGCGCTACGAGATGAAGTGTTCGGTTGGTATCAGGTTGTAAAGACATAAGTATTTATCGGGGATTTTGCTTCAGGAGAGGTTTGTCGATCAGGTATTTCACTCAACTTTTGTAGGGGGCTGTCGGTGAAGAGTGTGATACTGATATATTGGGAGCGGTATCTTCTTTAGGGTTGAACACAATTGATGGAATACGTGACAGAGAAGATGAACAGTTCAGTGGAGCAGCAGTTAAGATCGGAGATAAGATCCATGCCGATTGAACTAATCAAGCAGTTTTGGGTTGGAATGAAGTAGGTTCATTTATTTAGAGAAGAGTTTCAAATAATAATTCGTAAGTGAATGAGTAGAG